CAAAAAAATAATCAGCAACCTAGCAATAATTCTTATTTACTGCCCGGTTTAATAATTGGAGGAGTAGTGATTTTTTTGGTTGGAGTGTTGGTTATAATAAAAGGTTATTTGAGGAAGAGAAAAGATAAATAATCTTCACTACTTCTAGTTTAGAAGTGTGAAATTGTAATATACAATTATATATCTATCTAACTAAATATAACTCTTTCAAAAATTAATTCCCCTTTTAAATCATGAAAAGAACTTATCGATATAAATTAAAATTAAATAATCAAAACACGACCATCATAGATCAAACCCTAAAAAACTGTTGTTGATTATACAATTATCTATTGGAACAGTTTAGAAAGAGGGATAAAAGCCAAGAAAATCAGCCCACTGAATATCAATTAATTAATTCCTTATCAAGGATTAAGAAAGAAAATCCCTTTCTCAAACAAGTTCAAGCAAGTGTTCTCCAAAGCACAGCAAAAAAAGCCTATAAAACTTGGAAAAATTATTTAGAACTCAAAAAAATAAACCCTAAAAAGAAATATCCAAATTTTAAACCTCATTATCGTTATAACTCCTTTCTTTATCCTCAGCCAATCAAAAAAGATGGTTGTGGTTATGAAATTGATAACAGTGATATGATTAAAAGATTAGAAAATAGGAAATTGGAACTAACTCTTGGTAGACAAAACAAAAAGAATGTTTATTTGGAAACTAAAATCAAAATGGAAAGAAATATTGAAGGAGATATCAAAAATCTAATTATTAAAAGAAAGAACAGTAAATATTATGCTCTATTTAGTTGTGAAAATATAGAACCAAGACTATTGCCCCAAACTAATAAAAAAGTAGGTCTAGATTTAGGTATTAGAACTCTAATTACTACTTCCGATGGTAAGAAAATTAAAAATCCTAGATTTTATAAAGAGTCAAAACAAATCATTAAAGAAGCAAGTCAGAGTTTAAGTAGTAAAGTTAAGGGCTCTAAAAACTGGCTAGATGCCAAACTTCAATTAGCCAAGAAGTGAGAAAAAGTAATTAATCAATTTAAACACTATTCTTATCAGGAGGTAAATAAGTTAGTGGGAGAGTATGATGATATAGCGGTAGAAGATTTGAATGTTAAGGGTATGTTGGAAAAAAAATTAGGTGATAACAAAAAAAGTCTAAGAAGAAGTTTGGCGAGTGTGAAATTTGGAACTTTATTAAAAGTCATCTCCGAGAAAACTTCAATCGTTGCTCGGAGATTAGTTCGAGTAAATCCCAAGAACACTACGCAAATATGTTCTAACTGTGATAAGTTAAGTAAGGAAAAGATCGGTTTATCACAAAGAATATTTAAGTGTTGGCATTGTGAACTGGAATTAGATAGAGACATTAATTCAGCCAAAAATATTCTGAATTTAGGGTTTTACGAAAACTCTCTGTTAGAAAACGGAAAATATTTAATAAAATAGCCGTATGACAACTAAAACTACTTACTGACTAAATTGGGAACAAAAAACAGTCATTCCCAGCCATTCTGGTCTACAAGCCATCCCTTGGGCGGAAATCGGTAATTATCCACTAACTGTTTACTGCTCCTCTAATGACTGATGCCGAGTAGGTTTAGAAGAAAGGAAGCAAAAAATAGTTACGGATGAAAAAGAAAGAATTTATAAAATTGGTCGGGCCACTATTAAAGAGATAAGAGGGGGAACGGAAGAACAACCAGAAGGATTAGGTACTCAGGCGGTTAAATTATTATTTGAATTAGTCCCAGAATTTAGTGAAAATCACCCTCGCACAGGGCAAGGTTTTTTTACAATTAGCAATAATTGAAAATTCCCCCCTAGATTTGAAAATTTACAAACAGGAATTTTTAAGGATGTTTACGAAATAGATATTAAATCCTGTTATGCTAATATTATGCGAGATTATCCTTTGCCTTGCGGGAAGTCCGAAGTAATCAAAGATCCGATAACGATAGAGCAAAAGTTAAGAGCGGGAGCCACTGGATTTTTGGCTTGAGAATTAAAATCTCCTGCTCTAATAAAAAAACAGCAAATTCCTTTTCTTCCTGACTATGATGGTGAGATAAAAGAGTCAGTAAAAGGTCGTTGATTTACTTATACTTCTCTATTTAGAGATTTTAAAAAGCAGTATAAAATAACTGGTAAAATTTATTATAAAAACCTGTGAATATTTAAGGAAAAAAGAGGTTGTATAAATAAATTTCTTAATTATTGTAAATTTAGTAATTACTTTATCTACCCTTCCCTCTTTATTCAATAACTGATAAATATTCAGATTCTCTTTCTTCAACTG